CCAGTGCAGAGGAAGCAGAGCTCAGAGTCTCCTTGTTATGTTCACCCTGGGCTTGGCCACGTGTTGCTATTGGCCATAAAAATATCCATTTCCTTTCTAAATTGAGCTACAATACTTGACTCTTTGGCCTTGGGCGATAAAGCAATGCACAAGTGCTCAGCAGAAACCCTGTACCTCTTCCTCCTGGTTTGTTTTAGCACAAATGATCCACAGTTTTCAGTTCAATACAATATTTGTAGCCAAGGCATCATAAATCTTTCATCTGTATTTGTTTGCAGTGTGTCATCTCATTAACAGAGATCTCCTAGGTCTGCATGAAGTTCCTGGTTATTTCCAAAGACCAATCTGAGGGAAAAGATTGTTTCTTCAAATCTAGTGAGAATATTGAATAAATTACTAATAAATTCTTGTTTAAAACTGGCTTAGTACAGTTACAGAACAAACAACTTGCTCCTTGGAACCATGAAACAAGTGGACCAAGCCTGTTCCACTCTGAACTAGTGCTGGGACCTACTGGTCTCACAGGGTCCAGGAACCAGGTTGGGAAGGAGATGAGTTTTTCTAAGGATTTGCTGAAGAGATCTGCCTAATTGTGCCCAGGCCTTGGCCACACGACTGCTCCCCAGATGTTAGTGCTGCATTGGAGGATGACTTCTGATGGCAGACAGGGGCATCATGGGACTGAAGATCAAGGCCTTGGACTGAATGTAGCTGCTGATAAGCCAGTTGTCCATACAGATGTGTTATGAATCTTGCCACTCCTTTCTCCTTCTAGGCTCTCTCACAGCAGTGGTGTGCACAGGTATCTCTGTGTCACACCTTGGTGACCATCAGGTATTTTTCTGGCACGCAGGGGTCATCTCTGCTCTTACTTTCCTGTAGCACCTTTGTTACACTGTGTAAATCACCTTCCACAGAAGAACTCAAAACCTGCTTCACAAACTGCAGACCAAGCACCCCAGAGAGATGCTGCTCAGCATCATAACCTGAAGGAGAGCCTACCTGGGTCCCAGCCTGGCGCTCACTCCAAGTCCTAACACCCCCTCAGTGTGCCTTGTTTCTTCATCCACCACCCCCCAACCCAGTGTAACTGCTGATCAGAGACCACCCTGCAGCCTAAGCTGGACATTCCTATCAGAGCTGTAGGTCAGAGCTGCCCAGAGAGCAGGGGAAGGGCATCTGAGCCCTCCTGGTGCTGGGCATGGAGCAGGACCTGCCATGGGGCTGGCATGCATCAGGACCTTGTGCAGTCAAGGGCTGAGCAAAGCACTGAGGGTATTTTTGATTTGGGAGGCATTTCGGTGTATCTGTTTTTAACTCCCCACACCAGCAGCGGGGCGTCAGGTGCCACCAGGATTTGCGGGGACAGAGGGACATCTCGTGGCCACAGCACGAACATCCTCCGGGCTGCAGCCCGGGCACAGAACCATGGGATCTTTTTGGTTGGAAAAGACCTTAAGACCATCAAGTCCATCTGTTATCCCAGCCCTGCCAAGGCCACCACTAAACCATGTCCCTCAGCACCACATCTACATGGCTTTGAAATCCCTCCAGGGAAGGTGACTCCACCACTGCCCTGGGCAGCCTGGGCCAGGGCCTGACAACCCTTTTGGGGAAGGAATTTTTCCTACTATGAGATCTAATCCTCCCCTGGCACAACTTGAAGCTGTTTGTTCTTGTTCTACTGCTCATTACCTGGGAGGAGAGACTAACCCCCCCCCCGGCTCCAACCTCCTCTCAGGCAGTTGCAGAGAGTGAGATGATCTCCCCTCAGCCTCCTTTTCTCCAGGCTGAACACCCCCAGTTCCCTCAGCTGCTCCTCATCACACTTGTGCTCCAGACCCTCCCCTATCTCCCTTGCCCTTCTCTGGACACGCTCCAGCCCCTCAATGTCCTTCTTGTTGTGAGAACACAGAACACAGGATTTGAGGTGCAGCATTTCCCCTTCCCATCCCAGCATCACCCTGAGCTGCCCTGGGAGCTCCGTGACCTTCTTCTCCATGGGGGGGGTGGACATGGGAAATGCAGCCTCCAGCTCTCCCCCTGACACCTGAATAAAAACTGAGAAATGGTCATATCCAGTTCTTTATTATTGATTTGGGACAAGGGGGGTGGCACCACCTGGAGAGATTGATCCAGAGCTTCAGGGTCTGGAGTGGCCCAAGGAGGTGCAGACAGAACATCTTCCCATCCCTGTCTGTGGCATGAGGGGAGCTGTAGTATTGCTGGCAGTGGTATCAGATGAGAGGGAGAGGTTGTGCTTCCTCCATACCACCACCTTGGCCATGATTCCCTCTTCCCAGGGCTGCACTTGCAGGGCTGAGGGGCATTTCTTTCTCTGGGTGGGTCACAAAGGAGTCCTGCTGTCCTTCAAGGCAGAAACTATGTCTGCAAAGTGGGTTCAGACCTCCAAGGCAGATGGGGAAGGAGCTGTGCCAGTTCTCAGCCACTTCTTTAGTCTCCATGATAACCACAGAGCTGGCAGCACCAACCTTCCTTGTGTCCCTCCTTGCTCCCCATCTCCAAACGCATCCTGGTGGCACACAAGCGAAAGGGACAGGCCTGAGATGAGCCATGGCAGAGCTGTGCAGGACAGTGGTTTTCCTCCAGATCTGTCCCCAGGCAGACTGTGGCTTCACTGCTCAGGCTCTGCCTCGTACTGCCTCTCCGTGGCAGTGTAGAAGTCCTCAAGAACCGACTGCAGGTACTCGAAGGTGGGGCGATCCTCTGGTTTGTTCCGCCAGCACTTCAGGATGATGTTGTAGAGCTCCGCGGGGCACATGTCCGGGCAGGGCATGCGATAGCCCCGCTCCAGGTTGCGGATCACCTCGGGGTTGGTCATTCCTGGAGGGAAACACAACCCAACAGGAGATGTTCAGCACCCTGAGAGTGAAGATGAGTCTTCCCCATGGCTCACATCCAGGCAGGGCTGGAAGGGCATGAGAGACCATGATGCTGGGACTTACCTGTGCACCATCCCTTCTTCTGGGTTGTGCTCCCCCCTCCATCCCCCTCTCTCCTCCTCAGTTCCCCTCTGTAGGTTTTTACCTAGCAGAGGTATAACTGAGCCTCGTGAAAGCCTTGGAGAGGAAACCCAGCACGGAGACAGGGGTGTGTATCTGGGCACATGTTTATCTGTGCATCTCCAAGCAGAAAGCAGCACTAGGTCATCTGAAGCTGATGCTCACTCATCCCGTATCCGCATCATACCTGGGTAAGGGATCCTGCCATAGGTTATGATTTCTGTCAAGAGGATCCCAAAAGACCACACATCAGATTTGATGGTGAAAACTCCAAAGTTAATGGCCTCTGGTGCTGTCCATTTGATCGGGAATTTGGCACCTGTCCAGAGGAAGCAAAGAGAAATAGCATGTGGAGGTACAGCAACTCCCTCCACTCCTGTGGATACTGGCAACCAGTTCCCCAAAAACTTCACCATGGGGCTGTGATGGGACTTCTTGATGGTAATGTGAAGTTATGGAGATAAGGCCAGAAGAAGGTAATTGCTGCCTAACTCCTGTTTTTATAAGAAAGTGATTTCCACCTGGCATCTATTTGCCTTTCTTGGCTCTTCTTCCAGTGCAATCTAGACTATTTTCTTTTAAAAAAAACCACCTTTTTGACATGTATATGCTCATAAACCTCCATAGATGCTGATGGATGAAGGTCAAATAATGAAAAACCTTAATGCCCTAAGTAAGTAATAATAGTATGTTTATTTAAAAAACAAAACAACAAAACAAGCCTAGGTAAACTTTTTTACTGCTGAAATTAGAGGAATCTACAGTCTTATAACACCTTTGCATCTCTTGTGTCTTTAACAATGGGATCTCAGAAGAGGAGCCAGGAATGGACCAGCTTTGTGCTTGCTAAGGCTGGAGGAGGCAATGCCTGCCCCAGCCCTTGGGCACCCAGCAGCTCTCCTGAGAGACCCATTGCTCCTCAGACACCAACCTGCCGTGGAGAATCATGCAGACCATGGGGTTTCTGTAGACCATACTGTGTGTCTGTGCTGTTCCAAGTAAATGTCTCAAGTAGCTTTGTTAGAAGACAACAACAGTAGGATTTTATTCTGTATAAAACCACTTTTAGGTGAAGAGGGCTGTTCTTACTGAAAGTGTCTGAACGATACAGCAAATTTACATTATCCAGGTCTTAAAGCTGCATATGTATATTAAAACCAGAAAAAGTCCCAGTTTGTTTTATCCACCAGGTCCTTGTTTTGCACACTGTGGGCAGCAATGACCACAAGACTGTAACTTCAGTGTAGCTAAAAGACCTAAAGTTTAGCAAAAAAACAACAACACTAAACCCAAAAGCCCAAAACGCCTTGATAAGTAGGTCCTGAATGTGTAACAGACCACAGAGGAAACCACATTTTTATTTGTAGATATCCTTTCAGGACTGAAAGCCCAAATGCACTGTGTGAAATAAATGTCTTTGTTCTTGCACATCATGTGCAGACCAGGCAGACTGATGAAGGTAGGAAATCCAGCTTATGAAGTGAAAATCATTCAAAGCAGATAGAGGGGCAGTTGTTATTTCAGATTAAAGCTAGCTGGGAAAATGCTGATAGGAACTGTTTTCCACTGGACACGTAGCTCCTTTGGGGATGCTAACAGAAGTATGCTGATTTCACCAAAACTTCTCTTCAAGCTAAAAACTGTCTTAGAAATGGTGACAATCTATCTCACAGTCACCTTTTATATTTCACAAATTACATTTGTGAGTTTTTATTACTTGGATTTAGTTTTACATGTTCAAATGAGTATAATTTACATCAGCAAGTATTTTGGGACAGGAAATTGAAATGTTTTCTGACTTATAAGAAAAAAAATTAATAAATATTTTCTTTCTCCAGAGTATTTTTATGGGGAATTTTAACTTCATCCCAACTCTAGGGGTGGACAGATTTCAAAAATCTGGAAATCTTCTGCCACCCATGCCAGAGTTGATTGTTCAGCTTCAATCCTTTCTGCTTGTGTCACTGCTGCTCTATAAAGACTCTGCAATTTGAATGACACCATGTCACACCATCTCATAATTAACCTCAAAGTACAGCAAAAAAAGTCCTGCAACTAGAGGAATTTGACTTAACCCTGTTGTCAAATGGCTGTAGACAGACCTCTGCACCAAGCATACCAGTTGTCACTTCTCAGGGCCATGTTGTCCTGTCCACCACCAGTTTAGATACTGAGCCCCAGTAAGGGGCTTGGCTTTGCAAATGGAGTAATGAATTTTCATATTAATGTGGGGGATATTGGGGTTTGTATGCAATTTGGGTTGTTTGTTTGTTTGTTTTCTGTTTTGTGGGCTTTGGTTTGTTTGTCTGGGGTTTTTTTTTGGTTGGTTGGGTTGGGTTTGGGGAATTTTTTGTTGTTTTGCTTTGGATGGTTAAGGTAGTCTGTTCCCACAAGAACCACCTACCAAGCTGCAGTCCCTGCCCTGTGTTTTGTAGGTTGTCTCTCTTTTATTGAAGACACCTGATCTGGGCTCATTTTGTCTGGAATATGTGAAACCTGCCTTTAGGTCCGGATTTGTGGCTCCAGATCCCCTCTGCAGCCCTGCAGTGACTGAATTACACTGCTATTTCCTTCCCTTTGGACTGACTCCCTGTGAACACTTGGGCACGGGCAGCAGGTTTCGTTAGTAGAGGCCACATTTCTCCAGGAGCACCATCTGAGATTCAGCAGG